AGGTACATTTTCGGAATCAGCGCATCGAGGAGGCCCTGTATACCGATTTTCAGCCAATTCGAAAGACCCCGCTGTTTCCCGTTAAAATGTTAACTGGCCGTTAACTCGTTAACGGTGCAAAATACCACCCCAAAGGGGTACATTTTCGGGATTAGCGCATCGAGGAGGCCCTGTATACCGATTTTCAGCCAAATCGAAAGACCCCGCTGTTTCCCGTTAAAATGTTAACCCTCGCCCATGTAGTTGGTGCAACCCCCCCCCCCCTGAGGTTTTTCGGAAATAGTGCAAAAACGGCGGCGCGCAGCGCCGCCAAATTTGGGGTACCTTATGGGGCAAACCTTGCGCATCTTTTGATAAAAAAAAAAAATTGACCGGGTCATGTCAGGTCACGGAGTTATGACGTCACAAAGGGAACAGCCTCCGGCCGGATTTTCACAAACTGAGTGCCAACGCCCGAGGTTTCCTGCCGGTGGTACGGACATCGGTTGATGGATCGTGATGAACATTCCCATGCATGTTGGGGCAAGTATTGGCTATCATATGGTATAAGAAACTTGACCGGGTCAGGTCAGGTCACGGAGCTATGACGTCACAAGAGGAACAGCGTCCGGTACTATTTTTGAAAAGCGCCCGAACCACTATTTTGCTAATTCTTGTCACCTCAATGGGAATATGCAGCAATATTAGCTTCTATAGGGAGCAAATGGACATCCCAAATCCAAAAATACAATCAGATTTCAAAAATTTAAATTTTGATTTTTCGAATTTCTGCCGCCGACTGTGACCTTGCCGACTTCCGGCGCTCCCAACGCGCCATTTTTAGAGCTAGGGAAACGAAATACATACCAAACGATGGAGAATTGATCAAGGAACACGATAGTGAAGGTTTCAAGTCGATATCTCCCACCGTTTTGCCGCAATCGCCGCGGAAAATTTGAAAAAGTCTATTTTTCCGAAAATTTGACCTTTGACTGGTCAAAAGTAGGTCAAATGTTGACCTAGGACCAAAAAATATACCACCAATCGCGAGATCTCGGCGAGAGCAATCCGTTGGTCTTTTCCGCTAAGCTCTACGACGCTCCGTTTTCAAACGCCAAGGGGGGGGGGTCGCACCCCCCCCCCCCCCTGCATGGGCGAAGGTGGCAGATCGCCGTTTACGGGCGAGGGTTAAATGGCCGATAACTCGTTAACGGTGCAAAATACCACCCCAGAGAGGTACATTTTGGAATCAGCGCATCGAGGAGGCCCTGTATACCGATTTTCAGCCAAATCGAAAGACCCCGAAATATGCTGCTGTGAGGCTGATATTCGTTGCTGCTGAATTGATAGACGTTACTTCTGGCTATCTACGGTTCACTATAATCCGCTATTGTTAATCACCTGCACAGCTGCAACAATGGAATGTGGGCGCAGCGTTAGCGGTTCTCCACTTATTATGAGTTGTAATTAATAACTTATAATTAATCAATGGGTTACACACTCATTGAGCTGAAGATTTATCTAAGCTTTATGTAGTAAAAGCTACATAACGCATTTAACAACCATGAATCGTTAAGTCTCAGCAGTTTCAGATTAATCATCATAAGCTCAACATGCTTTAGTTCTGCGTGCCTGCCGATTTAGTTCTGCGGGCCTTCTGATAACAGTCAGCGTGCACAGTGCACAGATTCGTTCAAGAACATCCAGTGCATCCAGCAACGTACTAGATTGAATGAATGGAAATACGTCTTGAGGCAAAGTAGTCCGGTCATACGGAGTCAAAAGTGACATTCATGCCATCCATCTTTCATTGCGTCTGCATCAATACCATTCGGACGTCGATCCATTAAAAGTTGAAAAATAACAATTGATCCAATGAAACAGCGAAGCGATAGGTAACTACGTCAACAGATGACAAAACGAAATTGTCAACAAAACTCAGAATTTTTATTATGTCAATTTCTAATCAAGCAGGGTCAGTGAAATCATGGTCAAGGTCAATGTCAGAAGAAGAAGCTTTTTAAAACAGTTTACCGTTTAATGAACGTATAAATAAACGCTTATTTATACGTCCGTGTTGTAATGCATTGAGATTCAAAAAGTAAAATAAAGAAATAAAGAAATAAAAAAGAAAGAAAATAAAGAAGCGTACCAATAAGATTGCTGGACGGAGGGCGTCATGTCTGGATTATTTCCCTGTGAAATGGTGTAATTCGTTCTTAACTATCAGAGCCTGGATTTTGTTGAGCCTCGATTAGTCTCGAGCCTCGAAACTTCTTTAGCATGTAACCTTTAACCGGGAACAACGCCCTAGGTCCTTAGGTGCGTAATATTTTTCTGTCGTAAACAAGCATCATAATGACACGTTTTCAAACTACTGTTATGCATCGCTAGACGCGAGCATACCTACCGATCTGACGCTGGCTAGTTCGCCCGGTCGCACTCACGTCAGCAACAGTCAAAACTACGCAATAGGAAACAAAACGATATTGCAGGACTTTGTCATTTGCGCAACACAGTGGCAATGAAGAGAGCATTAAGCGGTTGAGGCGGTACCTAAAGAATCGTACAATATCACACAATGGCAGAAAAACCGCTGCCGTTGGGAAAGGCCAAAAACTTGTTTTATCCCTGCAGCATGTATGATCTGGCTATGTATTATGTTTCTCAACCAAGTGTGTAAGCGGGCTGAAGCCTAGGCAGCGAATAGGACGAAGGACGTTTGGTAGTACAATGACTTAAATTAGGTAACCGCTTAATAACTTAAAGGAAATAGTTCACTTTTAACATGGGGTTTTGAACTGGAATAGCAGTTTCGTAGCTTGAGCTGAGACAGGCACAAATCAGGAGCTTTTACGGCTCAACGATCACCCTAGACGAAAATATTCCATTTCTCGTTCCGAAAAGAGTGCCTTGCAGAGGAATGTGTGCCTTGTACAGGAATGCAGCCACGTCATCGTCAGCCAATCAGCATGCTGCTTACAGCCAATGCAGCATGCGTAGGTTTGAACTACGCAATATGATTGGTCAACGCGTAATAAGCTTCCGCGTCGAACATTATTTTACATAGAATATAGTTCGTCCTATATTAAAATATAGAAAATAATTGTTTTTACAAAAAGGTTTTATTTTATTTTCTGATCATTTTGAGCATAACAAATCATAAATCCATAGCAAAATACTAATTTCAGGAAAGTGAACTGTTTCCTTTAATGTTCTGTTACTATGAGGTAATTCTATTTCTGACATCAATCGTCTAACCTGTATCTCACACTTATCGACAGTGGCTCGAATTATCTTTCTTTCATACCGGCTGTGTTGTATTACGACAGATTTGCAAAACTTAGCAGAAACTTAGCTAGCTTAGCATAGCAGCCAATCTTTGGACGCATTATGTAGCAAATCTAGGCACATATCACTTATCAGGCCAGTTAACCGAGCTTTGACGTCGCATGTCAAGTTGTGTTTGGCTAAAATTGGCGGTTTCGATACGTGGGCAAGGTTACCTGCCCTTTTTGCTGTATGTTTCTTCGTTGCAAGCGAGCTAATTGGTGCTTATTGCTATCCTAGGAGCCATGTAAGGTTGCCCCGTGGTCAAATTAATGCGAGACCATGAATGATTATTGGTTGCGGCCAATGTAAAACTTTTTGTGGGGTCAATTCTAGCCATTTTAACTCGTTTTAGGCATCCTGAGCCTAAATGATTATTTTTTCATATCACAACAGGCGTTTATTGATCGCGGTACTGAAGCCTAAGGATTATTGTTAAGATAGATACGGATGTCAGGTTGATAAACGTCTACAATTTTTTTTTTTTTTTTGTAAATGATCCGCCTTTGCGTGCACTTTTCAAGGTCGTTTCAGGTCACTGAGGTCAGTTTTGACATTTTCCCAGCAGAAGCAAACTATTCTACACCTCTTGATGATTGTCTGCACAATTCACCTTTTAATCAGATATTGACCTATCAAAATGCCTTGTACGGAAATGAGGTATTGAGGATGAAGTAATGAAACCTTGCTGTTTATAAATCATTCCTCGCACTTGTGGGGTCAGATGGACCCATTTCATTTAACACGAATAGGTATGTTGTACAGTGGATCGCAACGAAACTTTAAAGACATTCGAGTTGCTCAATTTTATACCGACCTTAAAAAGTGACCCTGACTCAAATGATTTTTTACCTGTAACCGTTTTATCGACACCATGTTATGCCGACTTGGCAAATTGACTTATAGCAACGTGCATTCTGTGCGTTTGCAGATTTTTCAAATTAGCACTTGATAATATTCCAACCTGTGCAATATTGTCTATCCCATGGTCATGGTAGGTGTCAAGGTAACGCTAACGTCAGGTCAAAGTTATTGACCTTTGGTGACCTCGGCTGACAGTTTTGAGTTTTACGATTTTGTATGGTCGTTTTTTAATCAGATCAATCAGATACCGAACAGCTTGGGGTTCCTATCGATCCCCCCCCCCCTTTATACCTACCTATGCGGCTGTGAATACGTGGAAACGGACAACGGTCAAGATTTTAAGAGGTACGTTATCACTTAGCTTTGTGAAGGTCTAATTTTTATTATATAATAACAAACAGATCACATGCTACATAACTATATATACCTACATACTTGGATCTTCAAAAATATTGTTACGAGAAGTTGCGATTGCAGGGCAAAAAAAATTGTAAGTTCTGAACTCTCCCATAGCCTTAGCTTGACCCAAAAATTGTTTCGATGAAAACTTTTGTATGCTTCATGACAAGAGATGTGTACGCGACAGCGAGTTCTCCTGGTACGATATCGATGGAAGTGATAAGATCTGAGTTACAACGGTGCTAAATAAATAAGTCGTCGCGACAGGATATTATCAACATCGTATCGACATGATGGTCTGCACTTTTTATCACCCGAGTCAGCCTCGCTGTGACGTGCGAGGCTGACAAATGGCACGCGCACGTCCCACTTTTTCGTCTGGTCGTCAACGCACGTGTGTCACTGCCCCTGGTCGCCCCGGGTCTCACTTTGACTCTTCCTGCCACAGCGGGCCTCGGTCAGGTGGGCGGTCACTCCGAGCAGCACGATCAGCAGCAGCACGCGGCACGCCATGGTCTCACTGTCAGCGGTCCGTTGACGACTGCCCGCCGCCGGAGCCGGCGCGCCTTTTACACGCCGGCTCCCGCCGCGGCCGGCCTTCCAAGGTGAGCCGAGAGCGGCGCCATCAGCACTCTGCCAAACAACCGGGGCACCGGAGAGAAAGGAGGCAGGACGGTCGGCCGGCGCCCTCCACCCTGACCTGACCGGAGCCGGGGCGTGCACGGGTCCCACTGACCTCTGTCGGTGCCGACAGGCGGAACTGGACCGCCGACCGACCGACTGCCGATCGACGGCGACGACACAGCGGAAACGGTGGCCGGCGATCGCGCCGTCTGTTTTTATCAGATACTCAGCTGCCGGTCTGTGACGTATGTTGTACTCTCGACACTGACCGCGTGGAGGCTTTGGTCGTGTTGACTGTTGACATGATATTTATCGTACACGACTCCAAACGGCACGCTGCTCAATCGCAACACGTGTAAACTAACGAACGCTTTTCGAAGATATCTTCCGAAGAAACGCATGAACATAAATGGGTAGGGAAAGGGGTAGATAAGAAACTACGGGGAGTAAAGTAATTGTGAAACGATTAGGTCTAAGGTCTAAGCAATAAAGCTCTCGCTTTGCCTTTAGTTTCCGGAAGCACTGAAATTTGTATTCTTATCCTAACCCATCTAGCAAAAGCATATCACATCAGTGCACAAAATTGCATTAAAGTTACAAGCGCCGCATATTATTTGAAATGATCCGCAAAAATTAGTTATGCCAATCTCCACTCCAGTCATTCACCTTGCCCGTTTCCATATTTCCTTTACCACTGCCCCTTGCCCCTTTCCCATACATCAAAAGATCAAAGTCATCTTGCCAGCTTCTATCTACATAGGTATGTTAGGCAAAGTTATCGCTTCCTTCTCGACACTCCCTTTGTTCCTAACCGAAGACAATCTAACAGTTGTTTCTTTACCACAGATATCCCTCTCTAGCTCACTCAAGGACGAATTTTATGTGCGTTAGGCACCAACGTGGGAGCCGCGAACGCAGTGTGCGTGTGAGTGTGCGTGGTCTGCTCGGATGGCTGAGCCATTATTATCGTTCATTTCTAAAACCATGTCCACCTGTAATTGTAAGAAAAAGAGCGGACTCTGACCATTCCCTGAATTCCAGCTCGTCGCTCAGTCATCGTCTGTCATTAGCCAGGCGACGCGATGGTGAAAGGGCATTGACCGGCCGCAAAGCGTCTCGGTGGACAGGCTCCGGCGGTTGACCGCCGGTCTAAATTAGAATAGACACACTATGGTGATTCCGTAGGCACCTAAAATGATTTTTGACACTTCCTGCAAATAAATGAGCAAGTAACTGCGCATTAAAAAGGTTTGTTTGCATTGAGCATAGGCCACAGAGCCGTGTGTATAAATGTTTTTTATTCGATCATGTGTCTGGACTCTTATCTAGCCCCCAGGATTGAGAAATCCGACTTCTTGGCATTTTAGGTTCTTACAGCTTTTATGATTGAAAATCACACGAGAATGCCTAGACCTCCACTCTCCGGTCACAAAATGTTACTTGCACACCCAAAACCATACTTTTTATCTCAGCATCTGTAAGGAATCACACGCTACAAATGCGAAGGTTTTCCCCATCTCTCAGCATACAATCTTCAAAGTACTGGAAGTTTTTCACTCCAAATGAATTGCTTCATTACCCACCGTGCCGGAATCCATATACTGTCCCAATCCATCCTCACTATTACGTGGAACCCGTCGTAAACCGACTGGTCATCGCAGTGACATCGCTCGCCACCAAGGTCGCGCGCCGGCTCCCGCCTGTTGCCTCACGGGCGGCCATTGCGGCACCGGTGGCTGAACTGAACTGACCACACCGGAGGCCGGCCTGGACCCTCCGCCGTCTTACCTGCTGAATAGTAAAGTAATACTGGTCTGACCCAAGATTCTTCAAGATAAGGTTGGGGTCGCAGTCACGTGGGTTGTCACGTGGAGCTTTTCCATCCTTGCTCACGATTTCATCAACCTTGATTTATCTATGCTTGAAACGATTTTGTACGGAGGTTTTTTTAGTTTATTAAAAAACTAATTGAATGGTATTTACAATCAACAAACATATTTTCATTTGCAAACTCCGACAAAAGTTAAATTTATTCGCTGCTCATCATTTAGCTTGATTGCGTTTGAAATTTTGGGTGCTTGGTCTGACCTGTGTCATGTGCGATAAGCTGCGGGTTCGACAGAGCGGCTGATGCCCAGACTGTGGCAAATTGGCGGTGGTCCTGGATTGTGAGGACTTGGAAATATTCTGTAGACGTTCGTGGGTGTGTGTGAACTGTGAGGTGGGCCTCCATGTCAAACATATAGGTATCAATATTGAAAAAGGTGTACGGAATATCTCCCAAAGGTTGGATACATTATAACGCAGCCACATGTTGATCAAGACAGCCCATATTCAGCCCAGATTCAGCCCGGATTCAGCCCAGATTCGGGACACCTCTGATCAAGCTGAAACTCGCACACAATGTAGGCCATGACATGCCCAATCCACAGTCCAAGTCATTCGGTGGCACTCCCAGCCGTTTGACCTACAGAGGTCAGCAAAGGTCACGTGGCCCAAATTTGCACAGCAGATTGTGGCCCACCCAGTAGAGCTAGAGCGCTAAAAATGGCACCAATCGACTCGCCAGCATCTAAACTTACTTTCCAAGCACTCATTTGACCTCTCAAGGTCATGCGATGACCTAAGGTCATTTGTGGGCTATGTCGAAAATACACTTGCACAGCAGTTTTCGAGTAGATGAATTGACCGAATTCCAAATCAAAGCACATCATCAGGTAGCCCATAGGCCGTAGTAACTTTCCTTAAAAACCGTTTTCGATATGTGACCCCGTTTGACCTCGGCAGGTCAAAATGTGCAAATAAACGACTCTAAATACGTCGCAGCCCGGATTCAGCCCAGATTCGGGACACCTCCGATCAAGCTGAAACTCGCACACAATGTAGGCCATGACATGCCCAATCCACAGTCCAAGTCATTCGGTGGCACTCCCAGCCGTTTGACCTACAGAAGTCAGCAAAGGTCACGTGGCCCAAATTTGCACAGCAGATTGTGGCCCACCCAGTAGAGCTAGAGCGCTAAAAATGGCACCAATCGACTCGCCAGCATCTAATCTTACTTTCCCGGCACTCATTTGACCTCTCAAGGTCATGCGATGACCTAAGGTCATTTGTGGGCTATGTCGAAAATACATTTGCACAGCAGTTTTCGAGTAGATGGATTGACCGAATTCCAAATCAAAGTACATCGGGTAGCCCATAGGCCGTAGTAACTTTCCTTAAAAACCGCTTTTCGATATGTGACCCCGTTTGACCTCGGCAGGTCAAAATGTGCAAATAAACGACTCTAAATACGTCGCAGCCCGGATTCAGCCCAGATTCGGGACACCTCTGATCAAGCTGAAACTCGCACACAATGTAGGCCATGACATGCCCAATCCACAGTCCAAGTCATTCGGTGGCACTCCCAGCCGTTTGACCTACAGAGGTCAGCAAAGGTCACGTGGCCCAAATTTGCACAGCAGATTGTGGCCCACCCAGTAGAGCTAGAGCGCTAAAAATGGCACCAATCGACTCGCCAGCATCTAATCTTACTTTCTTACTTTCCCAACACTCATTTGACCTCTCAAGGTCATGCGATGACCTAAGGTCATTTGTGGGCTATGTCGAAAATACACTTGCACAGCAGTTTTCGAGTAGATGAATTGACCGAATTCCAAATCAAAGCACATCATCAGGTAGCCCATAGGCAGTAGTAACTTTCCTTAAAAAACCGTTTTCGATATGTGACCCCGTTTGACCTCGGCAGGTCAAAATGTGCAAATAAACGACACTCAATACGTCGCAGCCCGGATTCAGCCCAGATTCGGGACACCTCCGATCAAGCTGAAACTCGCACACAATGTAGGCCATGACATGCCCAATCCACAGTCCAAGTCATTCGGTGGCACTCCCAGCCGTTTGACCTACAGAAGTCAGCAAAGGTCACGTGGCCCAAATTTGCACAGCAGATTGTGGCCCACCCAGTAGAGCTAGAGCGCTAAAAATGGCACCAATCGACTCGCCAGCATCAAATCTTACTTTCCCGGCACTCATTTGACCTCTCAAGGTCATGCGATGACCTAAGGTCATTTGTGGGCTATGTCGAAAATACACTTGCACAGCAGTTTTCGAGTAGATGGATTGACCGAATTCCAAATCAAAGCACATCATCGGGTAGCCCATAGGCCGTAGTAACTTTCCTTAAAAACCGCTTTTCGATATGTGACCCCGTTTGACCTCGGCAGGTCAAAATGTGCAAATAAACGACACTCAATACGTCGCAGCCCGGGTTCAGCCCAGATTCGGGACACCTCCGATCAAGCTGAAACTCGCACACAATGTAGGCCATGACATGCCCAATTCACAGTCCAAGTCATTCGGTGGCACTCCCAGCCGTTTGACCTACAGAGGTCAGCAAAGGTCACGTGGCCCAAATTTGCACAGCAGATTGTGGCCCACCCAGTAGAGCTAGAGCGCTAAAAATGGCACCAATCGACTCGCCAGCATCTAATCTTACTTTCCCAATACTCATTTGACCTCTCTCAAGGTCATGCGATGACCTAAGGTCATTTGTGGGCTATGTCGAAAATACACTTGCACAGCAGTTTTCGAGTAGATGAATTGACCGAATTCCAAATCAAAGCACATCATCAGGTAGCCCATAGGCACTAGTAACTTTCCTTAAAAAACCGTTTTCGATATGTGACCCCGTTTGACCTCGGCAGGTCAAAATGTGCAAATAAACGACACTCAATACGTCGCAGCCCGGATTCAGCCCAGATTCGGGACACCTCCGATCAAGCTGAAACTCGCACACAATGTAGGCCATGACATGCCCAATCCACAGTCCAAGTCATTCGGTGGCACTCCCAGCCGTTTGACCTACAGAAGTCAGCAAAGGTCACGTGGCCCAAATTTGCACAGCAGATTGTGGCCCACCCAGTAGAGCTAGAGCGCTAAAAATGGCACCAATCGACTCGCCAGCATCTAATCTTACTTTCCCAATACTCATTTGACCTCTCTCAAGGTCATGCGATGACCTAAGGTCATTTGTGGGCTATGTCGAAAATACACTTGCACAGCAGTTTTCGAGTAGATGAATTGACCGAATTCCAAATCAAAGCACATCATCAGGTAGCCCATAGGCAGTAGTAACTTTCCTTAAAAAACCGTTTTCGATATGTGACCCCGTTTGACCTCGGCA